CCTCCCTCTCCCCACCCAGCCTCTAGGGGCTAGAACACCCTTCTCCTGCCCTTGGACATCAGAACTCCAGGTTTTCTGGCAATACACCAGAATCCCAGGACTTACACAGCCCTGCTCCCCACCACCGCCCCCTCCCACCCCTAGGCCTTTGGCCTTGGACTGAGAGTTATACCATCAGCTTCCCTGATGCGATGCCTTTGGACTTGGACTGAGCTATGCCACCAGCATCCCAGAGTATCTAGCTTGCAAGTGGCCTGTGGTGGGACTTCTCAGTCTCCATCATCAGATTCCCCCCTCGATACATATATAATATATAAAATCTGCTATTGGTTCTGTCTCTCTGGAGAACCTAAGGCTCCAGCGGCATTCTCTGCCATTCTACCTATCCCTTTCCTTTCATTCACACTGCACATCTTTCTGACCTTTAAATGCCCTGATCTCCCCACCTCTGGCCCTTCTCATTTGCTTCTCCCTTAGTCAGGAATGTTCTTCAGCTGTTGGCATGTCTGGAACTTCAGACCCCATAGGCTTCAAATAAGTTACCTTCTCAGCGAGACCTCCCCTGTCCACCCCGTGCATGTGGATGCTCCCTCTGTGCTCTGCCAGAATGTGGTTTCTTCATAGTACTTCCCAGTTGATTTACTTGTTTTATTGCCAGAATCCTCCTAGACCCATGCAACTTTCAGTTCCCGGCTGAGCGACAGCACCTAGTGGTACTCATTCAATATTGGCTCAGTAGGAGGGACGTCCTGTGATGTGCTGCAGGACACCCAGGAAAGAAGTGGCAGCATCTAAACCCATCCTGGCATGTCTACTCCAGAGGCCCAGCTGTTGGACATCAGCAGTACTTCTTAACTAAGGCATCAGGCCATGGCCTGGTGGATTTGGCAAGTCCAGGAGTCAGAGTTTAAAAGTGTGATTGAAGACAAGAGAAGTCAGAACAGAATTTGCAAAGCTGCATTAATATATCAGCTCTCTGATCAATTATGGTTGTTTTACTCGTTTAGCATGTCCAATAAAAAACAAATCCAAACTTGATCCCAAAAGATTATTGCTGGCAGATGTAGAGGGTGGGGAAGTGGGAGGGGTGAGAGGAGCGACTATATCAGTGGGGGGCGGGGTCCATTGCTATTGGGAGACCGCTGACCAAGAGTTAGACAGGAAGAGTTTTTTCTTTTCTTTCTTTTGAGTTGAAGTCTCACTCTGTCACCCAGACTGGAGTGCAGCCACCATAGCCTTGACCTGCTGGGCTCTGGCGATCCTTCCGCCTCAGCCTTTCAAATAGCTGGAACTACAGGTGTGTGCTATCACGCCCGGCTGATTTTTTGATTTATTGTAGAGATGAGGTCTCGCCAAGTTGCCCAGGTGGGTCTCGAACCCACGGGCTCAGGCAACCCACTTGCCTTGGCCTCCCAAAGTGCTAGGATTACAGGCTGAGCCATGGAGCCCGGCCAAGTTTTTTCTTTTCTAGAGAGGAGTAAACAAAGCTAGAAAGAACTCGATGTGGGGAAGTGGGAGGAAAAGGTGGTGGGATCAGATAGAAGATCAGAGAATGTTCTACCCAGGCCAGCTGATTCTCAGGAAGGGCTGTATCCTGGCTCAGGTTAGGTGAGCCAGAATTTATTCAGAGGCCTGAGGGAAGAGAGAAACTTAACCAAAATTTGGTTAACAAGCATTTTGTTCCAATCGATCAATGGGGACAAGCCATTCCACTAATTATGAGGCAAAGAAAGGGAATGTGGAGGGTCCATGTCTGCCCTTATCAAAGGTAAAGAAGCAGGACATCCTTGAGTCTCATCAAGGTCTTATGTGGTGGTGCACACCTGTAGTCCCAGCTACTCAAGAACCTGAGGCAGGAGGACTGCTTGAGCCCAGGAGTTTGAGGCTGCAGTGAGCCACGATCGCACCACTGCATTCCAGCCTGGGTGACAGAGCAGGATCTTGTTTCTAAAGTTAAAAAAAAGTCATGGAAAGGAGGGTTCTTTGCAGTAGGTGATTCCCAGAATGCAAATGGTGGAGGAATTTCTTAAACTGCGCTGTTTTCCAAGAGCGCAGGGGTTGCATAAAATTTGGTGCTGTCAAACTTGTGTCTGTGGCGATCCTTCATGTGCTGAGCACTGGGGCACAACAGAGAGCAGAGTCACAAGCCCACATGTCCTTTCATTTCTTGAAGGCAGTGGGAGAAACAAACAGAGATCATTACAGAGGCCACGAGACCTTCCCAAAGATACAAACTGGGTCCTGTCAGCAAAAACTACCCCAATGTCGTAAAGGCGAAGGGAAGGCTGTGTCCTTTCAGTGTCTGCCAGAACTTGATTGGAAGCCCCCCTAAGAATTGACTGTCAAAGGCAGCAGATCTCAAAGTGTGGTCAGGGGACCCTGGGGATCCCAGGAGCCTTTTTAGGGAATCTGTCAAGTCCAAACAATGTTCATTGTAGTGCCAAAATCACTTGCCCTTTCCATTTCATTCTCTCTTAATGTATATAATTTAACTAACATTTATTGAGTCCCTACTAAATCCCAGGTAACACAATGCCCTTATTAGATAGGTACTACTATAATCCTCAATTTATGGAGATGGAGAAATTATGTGAGAAATTGCAAGTTTGCTACCCAGTATCAATTATCATCTTTTCCATTAGAAACAGAACCTCAATGTCATTTGGGCCAGCAATGTGTCACAGCAAGACTGCACATCTCAGCCTTTCTTGCAAAGGAGTGCATCCGTGTGAGTAAATTCTAGACAATGAAATGAAAGAAAATGTGGAGTGGAACTGCTGAAAGATCTAGAAAGAGGAACATCTGGAAAAGCTCTTTAAAAATGAGTGCTGCTGGGCATGGTGGCTCACACCAGTAATCCCAGCACTTAGGGAGGCTGAGGTGAGAGGATTGCTTGAGCCAAGGAGTTTGAGACTAGCCTGGACAATATAGTGAGACCTTCTCTCTATAGAATAAATTTTAAAAAAACTAGCCAATGTAATGGCACATGCCTGTAGTCCTAGCCACTTGGGAGGTTGAGCTGGGAGGATCACTTGAGTCCAGGAGGTTGAGGCTGCAGTGAGCCAGGATCATGCCACTGCACTCCAACATGGATGACAGAGTAAAACACTATCTAAAAAAAAAAAAGGCGAGTATCTTTTTTTATCCTCCCTTTCTTACCATCATATGTAATGACCAGAGCATCTGTAGTCATTTTGGATCATGAGGTGACACTGGAGTTGGAACCCATGTACTAAGGATGGCAGAGCAGAAAGATGGAATGTGTGTAAAAGAGAAATAAATATTCCCATGTTTAAGCAGTTGTTAAGATCTCTGTGAATAGTAGCTGAATAAATTCCTAACTTATATACTTAGGCACAAAGATTAAGTTACTTGCTCAAGATGCCGATGCCATAGCTAATAAGTACAGGAGAAAGGACTCGAACCCAGACAGTGGCTTCGCAGTCCCTGGTCTTATGAAAGCCT